CCTGGGACAGCCTGCACCTGCTGCATCTCCTGCACCTGGGACAGCCTGCACCTGTGCCCAGGAGAGCCTGCAGCACTGCATCTCCTGCACCTGGGATAGCCTGCACTGCTGCACTGCTTGCACCTGGGACAGCGGGCACCCACTGCATCTCCTACACCTGGGATAGCCTGCACTGCTGCACTGCTTGCACCTGGGACAGCGGGCACCCACTGCATCTCCTACACCTGGGATAGCCTGCAGCACTGCATCTCCTGCACCCAGGACAGCCTGCACCTGCAGTATCTCCTGGAGAGCCTGCACCCACTGCATCTCCTGCATCTCGAACAGCCTGCAGTGCTGCGTCTCCTGCACCTGGGACAGCCTGCAGCACTGCATCTCCTGTGCCTGGGAGAGCCTGTACAACTTCATGCTCTGGTACGAAGCAGCCCTGTCTCCACCAGGAGGAGAGCACAATTTTGCCAGTGAGCATGTGTTCCCTAAGAACACTATTCCCTGCTGCCCTGTGGCTCAACCTGGTAGAAGGAACCGGGCCCCAGATGGCACTTACCTCCACCATTTTTGTAGCATAGGTAGGGGAACCTCCAGACATTGGCCAGGTCCACTGCAAAGCCGATGACCGAGAGTAGAAAGTCGATCTTCTTGCCCCAGGTCTCCCGCTCCTGGGCCTCCTCAGGGCTCCGTGGTGGGTTGATCAGCGTGGAGTTCGTGAGCTGCACCCCGTTCTGCTCCTTGACCAGGATGAGTTCCACGTCCCTGGGGCCCATGGCATTGGGCTCCTTAGCCGGGGCCACCACGGGGGCCATGGGTCCCACGGAGCATTTGCTCTTACTCATGGGAAGACTGGAGCCTAGGGATTCTGTGCTTTTTCCTCTTGGTCTTCAGTCAACATGAAAAACACAGAGAAACGCACTGGTGTGGTAGCAGGTTGACAGTGTGCGTCAAGAGCGGAGACCTGAGGCAATTGTGCTGCCTTGGAAGGAGCAAACACATTCCAAGCTCCTAGGATGACATGATGGTGCTCAGGATAGGTGGAGACTCTAGATCTCTTTGGGGGTCACAGGGGGAACCAGCCATGGAGACCCCAAGACAGACCTGCTGCTGTGCCTCCTCCTCCACCCCTCACCTGTCAAGCACAAGGCTTGATTCGCTTTCTAATAACCATGCACAGATGTTCTGTCCCTTCTCCACATTCCCAGGGAGTCATCCCATAGTCTTAAAGAGCGCCAATAGAAGGTCTTTGTAACAGCACTATGCATTCTTTATACCAGGTAATAAAACAAAGAGCAAAATTTATATAAACAGCCACACTAACTAAATATTTAAAAAATAATTACAACCACTTGTTCAAAGAACATCTGTATTATTCAAAGTCCACATCCACCTGTGCCCAGGGGCTTCTCCATGTCTATCTGCCCAGGGCTTCCCGTGCCCTACCTGAGCTGCGCCGAGGATTGATGGTGCAGGACTTCACCCAGGGTGGGGCAGCTGCCACACAACCCCTTACGAGGGAAATGGCTCTCAATTACTTCCGCAAAGCCCTGGGCAGAGTGGAGGAGGGCTGAGCACTGACACATTGACAGCCTGC